AATATATCTCGGAGGAGGAGGAGGTGGTGGCCACGGTCGGCTCTCACTCCACAGATGGGAGAGCATGGCTTTGCAGTCTAGGCATGTCAGACGTCTATTCAAGGCTTGAAATAAAGTTTCCAACATGAATTCTAGGCTGTCTCTAGGAAGGATCTAGTTGGGTAGCTGAAAAAAAAAGTCCCCATTTTGGCCAGGATGGCCTCCAGCCACCACTAGACAGTGGCAGGGTAATCCAAGGTTAAACCCTGCTGTCAAACCTCCTCTTGGGAGGCCCTGCATTCTTCTCAGATGTTCAATGTTAGGGGGAGCCCAGAATGGGAGGTAAACATGTCACCCTGTCTCTTTCGTGCCAGGCAGACCGAGAGGGGCCAGCGCTGTGGTCTTTCCCCAGGAGACTGATCTCCACAGTCTTAAAATTATTGACAATACTTCCCATAAGAGTAAGGAAATCGCCAAGCTATTAACCACAGAGGCCAAATAATAAAGGGCCAGCAACCATCCATGAGAGAACAAGTCTTGGGATGAACTCTGGAACAATGGGTGTTTGGTATTTAAGCACAATGTACTTGGCCAAGTGTCTGTGAACCACAGAGCCGAGGACTAATGGTTTCCTGGGGATTGTGGGGATTTGCTCCCTGCTTCCAGGTTCCATTTATCTCTTCAGAACTTACAGGGGTTTTGTCTACAAAAGATGACTGGAGAGAGGGAAGGAGTCAAAGAGGAGTATTTCGTTTTATTTATTCATTTTTTTAGACGGAGTCTCGCTCTGTCGCCCAGACTGGAGCACAGTGGCCTTGGCCTGATCTTGGCTCACTGCAACCTCCGCCTCCCGGGTTCAAGCGATTCTCCTACCTCAGCCTCCCAAGTAGCTGGGATTACAGGAACCCGCCACCACACCCAGCTAATTTTTGCATTTTTAGTAGAGATGGGGTTTCACCACGTTGGCCAGGCTGGTCTCAAACTCCTGACCTCAGGCGATCCACCCACCTCAGCCTCCCAAGATGCTGGGATTATAGGCGTGAGCCACTACACCCGGCCAAAGACGGGTATTTCTTATGGGCTGGTTGGCATGCAGCAGAAAAGGGCCCAGGCCACATCTTTCATTCCTGGGCCTTCTGGAATCTACTATGTTTGTCTCCTGGGCTAATGTCTCATTAATAGGCAGAAACAAATTCTATAAATTTTAATATTTTAAAGGGTGTATCTCCTAGCTTCTCCAAAAAGCAACTAGTTACCAACAGGGGGATCGACCAGATCTTCAAGGGAGCTTTTAGCCATGGGATCTCCCAGATTGCCCTGGAGTTGAACATCAGGTCTTTGGCTAAAAGTAAAGCTCTAGGCCATTGATTTATTAAAGCAAAAGACCAAGGACACAAAGGGGTATGTGGATGGGAAAATGCCTCCACTCTGTCAGCAGAGAGGAAGGAAAACACATATATTATCTGCCTGGTACAACAGCCGTAAGCGTGGCATCATCACAGCACCCAAGGGCAAGGTTAGGGCAGTCGAAGGTTATCCAGGCATATGACCAAGGGTCACAGCAATGTGCACCCCCGCCTCCGATCCTTACCACCTCCACCCCTGAACTTACGTCTTGAGGGGCGTCTTCTTCTTCTTAGCGGGCTTGTTTAGCCCATCTCCGTCCACTCCATTGGCTTCGATAGCACTGGCTGGGATCTCAAAGGAGGCTGGGGATTTAGAAGGTGAGCTGGGGGTCTTAGAGGATGTCTTAAAGGGGTCAACGGACTCCTCACAGGTGTCTGGGTCAAAGTTGTATGATTGTTGGGGCAGTTTGGGAGACTCCTGCATTTTTGAGGTGGAAGAAAAAGGGTTAAAATTGGGGTCATCCCACTTGTCAATATCAAAGGTGTAAGTACCTTTAGCAATGGGGATATCATTGGGTTCAGCAGGGGATCTGGGAGGTGAGGCAGGAGTGTTGTCAAGTTTCTCGGGTGTCTTTTTCATCTTTGGCCTCCTCAGGGGCATTTTGGCAACTGGCTTTTTGCCTATCTTTTTGGTAGGAGGGGGGTTTTCCTGCTGGTCGTCCCAACTACCCTTGTCCTCAGAATAGTCAAACTCCAGCCTCACGGAGAGCCCTTTGGCTGGAGAGTCCTCTTGCCCCCGGCTATCTGATGGGGTTCCCTCCCCTGCCTCCAGGGCCGTGGTAAGAGGCAGTGTCTTCCGCCCGACGGGGGGTGAGTTCTGCACTCTGCAACCTCCAGAAGCTGGGGGGACCGCCCCTTCCGCACTCTCTGAGTCCGGAGGGCAGGCAGCTTTGGGTCCCGTGGCAGGCTCAAGGGGCGTCTCCTCCAATGAGGCTGGGTCAGGACCTTCCGTCTTGGCAGAGTCTGTCTTCGTCTCAGATGCTAGATTCTCCTCACTGGGGACGGGGCTCTCTTCGTCTGGCTCCTGTTGCGTCTCCTTCACTGGGGGAGTCTCTGTGGGTTTCTTGGTGGTCTGTTTCTTTTTTAAGGAAGGCGGCCTCGGTTTTTTAGTTCGCTTAAGGGTACTGGAAGCACTGCTGGAACCCGTGCTATAGGCATCTGGGGCGAGGGCCACGGCCTCGGGATTGCCTGAGGAAGAGGCACCATCAAAGTCACTGGCTTGCAGGCTGAGCGACCGGGACAGTGTAGACTTAGAGATGGGGACGGAATCCGTGGACTTCCTCCGTGTGTTCACTTTGCCCTCCTGATTCTTAGCGTCTGAGGCACGGGGCTCCAAGGTCTGAAAGGTATCCACAAGCTCAATGTTGTCAAAGTCCAAGTTGTAAGTCCCGCTGCTGGCTATCGGCTTGTCTTCATCGAAGACGGCAGAGAAGGAGTGTGACGGGGGACGGAAGGGACTTCCTTCCACCGAGTCACTCCGTGGGCCATCGGGGACAGGGACTGTCTCAGAACCACATCCTGAGGAAACAGAGACAAAGCCATCCATTACAGACATAGGACACATTGGGGCACCTCTCCTCTTGTGCCAGAACAATATCCTCTAGCAAAGGGAGACAAACCATGGCCCCAGAACCCCCCTGCCCACTGCTGGGTGCACTACTTGGATACAGATCCTGATCTACCCATTATTAGCTGGAGACCCAGGCAAGGCTTGCCCAGAGTTCCACAATGGGGGTGATGAGGACTGATTAAAGAACAGCTCAGAGCATTCGTTAAAAAACACTCATCAAGTGCCTAATTAGGACCAGGCATGGTTCTAGGTACTAGAGATTCAACAAAGAACAGAAATAGACAAAATCCTTCCCTTTCTGGAAGTTACATTCTTCAGGGGAAGGCAGTGAATAAAGCAATAAACAGGGCAGGGCGTGGGGTCTCACGCCTGTAATCCCAGCACATTGGGAGTCTGAGGCAGGCAGATCACTTGAGGTCAGGCGTTTGAAATTAGCCTGGTCAGCGCGGTGAAACCCTGTCTCTACTAAAAAAAGTACAAAAATTAGCCAGGCATGGTGGCGTCCACCCGTAATCCCAGCTACTCCAGAGGCTGACGCAGGAGAATCGCTTGAGCCCGGGAGCCAGAGGTTGCAGAGAGCTGAGATCACAACACTGCACTTCAGGCTGGACAACAGAGTGAATGAGACTCTGTCTCAAAACAAACAAACAAAACCAAAAAACAAAACAAACTGTACAGAATTTCAGAGGGTGACACACGTTAAGGAAAAAATAAAGCCAGGATGGAGAGTTTCACTTCTAAAATAAGGTAATCAGGCAAGACCTTCTGAAGAGACAACTGAACAAAGACCAGAATGAAGGTGGTCCTTGAACCAGGAGGACTCCTGGGGAGGAAGCATCCTGGGCAGAGGGAACAGCGCGTGTAAAGGCCCTGTGGCAGGAGCACCCCTTGTGTGTTACAGAAACAGCGAGGAGGCCAGTGTGGCTAAAGCAAGGGTCAGGAGGGGGACAGCAGGACACAGAAATCCTTCAGGAAGGCATAGGGTATCTTCCATAAATATTAATAGCAGCCACAGCCACCAGCAAACCTGTTCTGGGTGGCTCAGAGCCACTGTGAAGAACGGGGGCCTTTCCACGGAGGCCCCCGGCACCTGTGGTGGCACTGCTGTCTGCCACCTGCAGCTCCAGCCGTAACCTCTCCTTTAGTCCTGTCTGCCTTTCCTCGGCCTTGCCCCTTGCCTATTCTCACTGCTCTCCTAGCTGCTTCCTCTCAGCTTTTCTACCTCATCAGACACTGCCGGCCTAGGAGGTCGCTCCTATTTCCCCAACACGCCGCAGATGCTGCACACAGTGGCCAAATGATGCTCAAAGGTCCCGCCCCCCACCCCCCATGGGGATCTGGCCAGCCCCAGCTTTGGCTCGGCTACTCTGGGTTCCGCTGGCACCAAGCAGCATCTTTCATGCATTTCTGAGTTCACAGCTGCTCCAGGCAGTCAAGAATGCCAGAAAATGATTTGCTAGAAAACTAACAGTGTGTCATTGGACAAGAGGGCAAACACGATAAAGCGGTCTGCAGGGTCTGCAGGCCTCAGCACTGGGAGGACGCAGAGCCAGGACTAAACGGCGCTGCACGGGTAAGACCTGGGACAGCGTTTCCAACGTGTGCCTCATGACAGGTGGTCTGCCCCCAGCCCCCTTCCCCCTTTGCCAGACAAAGGACAGGATGCTCAGCTGGATTTGAATTTCAGATAGATGAACATGTTTTTTAATGTAAGTATGTCCCATGTCTCAAGGATTCTTTGTTTATCTAAGATTCAGATTTAATGGGCACCCTGTATTTTCACTTGCTAAATCTGCCCTCTCACTGCAGCAAACAACAAGGTTTAGAAAATGCACAATTAACCCCTGAACTGGTCTCTTCCTGTCAATTTTCTCCGAGCAATTTATGTCCACGACTGCAAATCTCTGGGCAGTGAGTACTGTGCACAGTGCCTACCAAGCTTGGCTCCTAAGCCCCTTTCTCCTGGAGTACCTGGTAGAGAAATCAGCTAACAACACAAAAAAACTCGAAGCTTCTTGAGTTTAGGGACCAGCCTTAGCTTTGTTTCCTGACAGGTCACACTTTTTCTTACAGGATCAATAAATGCTTCAATTGAAAGCATCATTTGGAAGCTCGTCTCTGAGCTGCTCCTAGTTTCAAGCCTCTCACTCTCCTCTTCTCCACCCAGGGCCTGCCTGGTGCAGTTGTCCTAAATACACAGCTCTTTCTACCACATGGTTTCTCCAAGTACCCTTCTTCCTTCTCATTTCAAAAGGTGTTGACTCCCTTCTTTCTAAAATCAAACTCCCTCCCAGTTTCCTCTAGGCCCTAATACTCTCAAGTACCCCATCCTCCCACCAGCAGTGACCTCATCTTCCAGCTCTGTGCTTGCCCCTGGATACACGGAGGGCACAGAGGACCAGGGGATGCTGAGGGGGACCAGGTGTTTTCAAATGAGCTTTGGCAGGAGGAAGAATGAACCTCGGCCTATCCCCTCATTTCTAAAGCAAGGCCCACCAACACCAGCCTTCTCCCTCTCAGGCCGTTACACGTGCCTCTGCAGCCTGCAGAAGGGGGCCTTCAGAGGCCCTTCAGATGTCAGCAGTAATCACCCAACAATATGCGGAGGTGCAGCTGAACCAACTGCTCATTGCTTCCTCCAGAAGAAGGAGCTCCCTGCCTGCTTAGCATGGCTTTCCTCCTTAACACTGACAGGCTCTCATTAGATCATCAAGAGCCAGGATGCCTCATCTTGCTGCAGGGTTTCTTATCCTTGGCATGATGGACATTTGGGGACAGTCAGGTTTTTATCCTGGGGGCTGTCCTGTGCCCTGTAGGATGCTTAGCAGCAACCCTATCCTTCACACACTGGATGCCAGTAGTCCCCACTCCCTACCCCATTGTGACAACCAACGCTGTCTCTAGACACTGCCATGTACACTTGATGGGGGCAGAATCCTCCCTGGTTGAGAACCGATGTCTTATTGTGTTGGTCAACAGAGCAGGCTGCTCGGCGGGGTTCCTCACAGGGCTAGAGGGTCCCCTGTGGTCACCTGGGTTCCCAGTCCTCCCTGCTCCCCTACTGGGTTTTTCTTTTTTCTTTTTTTGGAAACATAGTCTCACTCTGTCACCCAGGCTGGAGTGCAGTGGTACAATCTCGGCTCACTGCAACTTCCACCTCCCAGGTTCAAGTGATTCTCCTGCCTCAGCCTCCCGAGTAGCCGGGATTACAGGTATGTGCCACCACGTCCAGCTAATTTTTGTATTTTTACAAAAATAAAAAAATATTTGGTCTCAAACTCCTGACCTTAAGTGATCCCACCCACCTCAGCCTCCCGAAGTGCTGGGGTGCTGGGACTGAAGGCGGGAGCCACCACGCCTGACCTTCCCTACTGGATTTCTAAACATCCACATAGCACGTCTGCATGAAGACAGACGCAGATGCAATCAACTGTGTGATTCATTTGTTCGTTCCACAAATAACCTGGGATGCCTCCCAGACATCAGCCACTGTGGGGTGTGCCACGGACATGGAGATAAGGAAGGACAGGACCCTAGATGACTCCATCCATAACGCTTCCTCCATCTCACGTCTCCATTGGCACAGATCTGAGCAGTGCCCTGGAGAACAGTGCCTTGTACGCAGGCTCCAGGTTTCTGGCTCAGTCTGATGACAAAGTCAGCACCCACGGCTCATCAGATGAAAAGGCTCACTAGGGTATCCCAGTTACATGAGCCTGCTGGGCTGCCATCACCAAGGACCACAGACTGGGCAGCTTAAACCACAGAAATGTCTTTCTCACAGTGCTGGCGGCTAGAAGTCCGAGGTCAAGGTGTCTTGGATGGTGGGTTTGTCTCTCCTGAGCCCTCTCTCCTTGGTTTGCAAATGGCCTTTTCTCTGTGTGCACACCTGGTCACTTCCTCTTTGATAAGAATACTGGTTCCCCTGGGATTAGGGCACTACCCGTATGAACCTGTTCAACCTTCACTGCCTCCTGTAAAGGTCCTCCCTGCAATAATCGCATTGGGGGTTGGGGCTTCAGCAGCCAGATGTGGGGGCCACAATTCAGCCCACAGCACCAGTGCTGGGCAATACAACCCCCAAGTTGAGGGAAAGGCAATGTGTTAGAATGACAGGAGATTCCCAGGAAAGGGAGAGAGCTGGGACAGGGCAGCCGACATCACCCAGCTGATGTCACCTTCTCCAAAGGCCACACTCTTAGCCTTGCTGGGCTGTTTCTCACAAGAGCACCTGCTGCCAGTCACCGCACCGGTTCCTCTCCATCCTCCCCTCCTTCACCCCATCCCCCAATGAGTTCACTCTGGGCAGGGATCCTTGGTGCCCTGAGGCCCAGAAGTGTGGCCCGGCACTCACAGACTCCTCTTAAGCTGGCACATCATGGGTACATGGTCTCATACACCGGGAGCATGGCTTTATATCTTCTAAGTATATGAATACTACCTTCAATTAGTAATATTCTGGGAAAAGGTCTCCATTTTAAGTAGGCTAACAAGACAGAAATAAAGCATTACTTGGTCTTTGTGTGGCATTTTGCTGGTGGCTGTGGGCAGCTCAGAGCAAGTCCATGATGAATTCAACATTTCCCAAATTTGCCTAGCCTAAGATACACCTGAGACACTCATTAAAACCCCAGACTCCGCCTCCACCCGTCCCTTCCTCTGCAGAGCAGCAGTTCCTTCCGCAGGACTGGGGTGGGGCTCAGAGCCCCCCTTGTAGCAGGTGCCACAGGTGTGTCTGCTCATCGGGAAGTCTGGAACTGGGCTGGCTCACCTGATCTGCTTCTGTCTGGGCCTAGTCTCACTTCTAAAACCTCCAGTGGACAACATTTTAGTATTTGGCCACAAAAATGAGTGGGCTTTGAGGATGGGCCTTTGGGCTCCAATTCCCTGTGTGGATTTCACGTCAGAATTGTGGGGTATCAGGGCTGCAGACGTGCCAGGCAGAGGC